GTTTGTAACACAGGAAGGAAACAATCAGGAACATTCCAGAAGGGGGTGAATTTCTGACCCCTCCCCCCTATTGTTTAGGTCCTCATCTGGCTGCGATTTCACAGAACACGATTGTTTAAATTAAACTGAAAGCGGTGGCCAGGAAATCAGCGTTTATGAATATACCAACCCCTAGGGATGATGATGCCTTGTTACACAACACGCCGAAATCCATCCAGTTGGAGCTGCCTAGTCACCTCTCACCCCCCGCGCTGCAGGTAAAATATGGCATCTTCACAACTCGCCCGTGTCCGCGCGCACCTGCTGATCCCACAGCGGGAGCCACTCTCCGTGCTCTGGGACCCTGGAGATGAGCATGTTAGAACTGAGAGACAGAAGCAATGACGCAGTAAAAGCTTGTCCGTGGTCTAGAGACCCCTAATAAAGCCGGGTTGCTGCATTGTAAACAAAAGGGCCAATTGAGGGGCTCACGGGACCCTTTGGTCTCAGCCCTCGCGATGTGAGAGCAGGAGAGCCGGGAGCCCTGGCTAAACCTCAGCTCCATGCCCAGCGCCCTGCAGTGGTTACTGGGTTGGGATCGTGCGCTAGAACGTTATCTCAGGGCAGGGCCGGCGGTTTTCTGTCTGGCCCAGAGACAGCCAGGCAGTGGCTGCAGCAAGGCCACGAACTCAGCCCGCCGTGCGGAGCCTTGCCATCAATTAAAGCATGTTGCTGCCGTCCCATTTACACCCGGTGCGTCTAACAAGATCGTCCCACCCATAACACACCAGCTCCCAGCCATTGTTGGGGGAGGGGTAAAAGGCCAGGTGCTGAGAGCACTGTGGGCCTGGATGTATAAAAACCTTCGATTTGGGTGCTGTTCAGGCTGTCTCTGCCCTGAGGCGTTTATACCCTAAGATCCCTAGGGTCCCCTGCCTGCCTCACTAAAATAGCCCCTTGGGGGTTCGGTTGCTGGTTTTGTGTATTGCAGCTGTGTGGATGCTACACAGCTGCTGTGGTCCTCCCCAGAGGTGGCTGCCTGTCAGTGATGGGACAGGGGTGTCATGAGGCTCTAACTGACCTTTGGTGCAGCATTTTGAGGGACTGGCCTAGGGACATGGGGAGAGGGCTCGCGCTGCTCCCCTTCCTCCCTTAGCTAATTCTCAGGTTCCTCCCTGTGTTGTTTCCTTCCTTTGCCAGCTCGCTGGTTCCGCACACATATGGGCTGGGGGCGGACGGCACATGGAGCAGGCGAATAACTCCTCTGCACGTGCAGCCAGCCTTGTTCTCACGGCGGGCGGAGGGAGGGAGCGCAAGGCACCGGCGAGAACAGGAGCGTCTGGGGCACGCTTGGATTTTTGCTGCACAAGTGCTGCCTCTGTAAGAGCCAGAAGGGGAATTTATCGGGCTTTGGGGGGGATTGTAACCGTGAACTGACTAGTGTGTGTGTGCATCTCTGCTTTCCACTGCTCCGATGTGTGTCACAGTCCCCATGCTTCTACCAGCAGAGGGAGAGTCTCCAAAAGAGAGGCTGGTTTTGGAGGCAGAGGGTAGCAGAAATCTTGCACCAAGGCCCTGTCCTGCTGCAGTTTCCCACCTGCCATTGCACGCTCACAATGCTTTCATAGGAATGGTCGCTGTATTTTTGCTTTAGTTTGTGGGCTTCTCCGTTGGCAGATCTGGAGTTGCCGGGCCCCGGCTGCCCAGATGAAGGGTTGTGGTGCAGGGTTGGTTTCCTGGAGGGCCTGTGCTGTAGCAGTTAGAGACGTGGCCTCGCCCTCAGGCCTCTTGGGTTGTGTTCATGGCTCTGAGAATCAATACAATCTTGGGGTTGCAGCCATGGGTTGAGTGCCTGCTCTGGGAGGAGAGTGTGTCTTAGGTGTGTTTTCAATGTGTGTGTTAGAACTAGAACAGTTCAAGGAGGAGAGGTCGACAGAACCCAGAAGTCCTGCGCCCAATCTCTGCTGATGTTGGCGACCACTGAAACAAGCAACCCCCCTGGTGCCTCGGTTTCCCCATCTTGTACTGTGGAGATGATTACCTACAGCATGGGGATTGGGAGGATTAGCTAACGGGTATCTGTGAAGTGCTTTGACATCTTCAGAGGCATGGCTTATTGTCCCACAGTCTTTTGTCGCTGCAGCCTTTCTCTTTGCAATGCCAGGAACCTGCTGTCTCTGTTCCCATGTTCCAAACATCTGTTTCACAAACCTCACCCACTTAAACCCAGCAAGAGCACCTCAGAAGTGTGTCCCATCTGGCACCCGTTTGTCTCGGACAGCCACTTCAAAGGAAGCATAAAACCCGGTATCTGTGCAATGCTCCACCGACTGTGTGTCATGGGCTCTGTAGGGAGATTCTCCTTTAGCTCAGGTGGCAGGAGCCTGTGCTTTCTGTGCAGGATGGGCCGAGCTCTAGTCTCACTACAGCTGTGTCTGTGTGGCCACGTCAGCAGCATGATGACAACTGGGGAGCTCCCAGGTGGCTGGCTCCACGCATGCCTCCGTCCCATTGCAGTACAGCGCTGGACTGGCTGTGGCTGTGGGTCCGATGTCTCCTTTTAATATTCCTCCAGCAAGCAATGTCTGAACCTTCCCACCCCATTCCCTTTGGGCCTTCTAGCCAGAGGCCCTCAGTTCTGCAGACGCTGACGCATGTGCTTCCCGTTAGCCAGCGAGCCGTCCCGGGGACCTCCCTGGGGCTGCCTGAGCGCTCCAAGTTGAGCAGAGGTCTGACAGAACATGGAGCGATCCCTGGGGGCGCCGAATCCCCACCAGGCCGCTGGGATTTCCGAGCAGGAACAAAGCTAGTTAATGTGATTAGGGAAACGGGGCTGTGAAGGCAGGCGCCCTGCAGGTCCAGCCTTCCTTTCCCCCTCAGCACAGCAGCTGCCCCCTCCGAATCAGACTGAAACGGTTTATTTCCCGTTCCAGGGAGTCCGGCTCCAAAAAATCCCCACCCCCCCCCCACCTGCAATGGGACTGAAAGCTCCCCCTGGTTAAAACAGGCAAGAAACTTTCACAGACAAGGTTTAAAATTTGGGCCGTTTGTGTTTCATTCCGTTTTTTTAAACCTGCTGTTTAGGTCACAGGTAGGCTTGGCCGGGAGTCTATGGGAATCGACTATTGAAAGCAATCCGGGAGATTTTAATAGGTACGATATAATTAATACCATTACGTCATGTTTGGGGGGGGGGGGAATCTCCCAGAATAGCTTCAGCAATCTGTAAAAATGAGAGGATGGGGGCCAAACAATTGATGCATCAAAGTTTTAGTTATGTGGGTCTAAGTGCAGGACACCAAGGTTCTATTCCCAGCTCTGGGAGTGGCTGTAGGAGAGAACTACGAGCCAGGACCTCATGGCATGTAGCTTGCAGGTAAGCATCTTTAACTC